CAATCATAAACCGGGAACTTAATTCCGATGCAGAACGCTGTAACACTGGAACGGGACCAAACTGGCAGAAGACTTTATGTAAACATGGTAAGATGGTAAATAGAGCATGTATAAGTGGCAATTTGTCACAATAGTATCTTTGTTTTCATAATGCCACCGTCTACATATTATAGGCTAATACATGTTTAAGAAAGCGCTGACTCAAGAATAAGGGACCTTATGGTAAACCGACCGCCTGGCAACTTAAGCCTTCCGAATTATCATTGAAATTGTGAGAACATAGAAATCACTTGCCGGAAAGCTTGTGGTGATGGATACTTGGGATTATTATTATTAGCAAAATGTTTAACATTAACTAATTTACTGCAACACATGATACTTAGGTTTTTGTCTCAACATATTCACAACAACGCAACTGGAAGACATAGCAAAATTAAAGAGTTAGACAGCATAATTAGGGTTCAGTCATTATGTCAGTATGTCGGAACTTCGCGCAGGTGCACCTCAAGATAACGAAAAGATATTGCATATTTCGATTGATGCAGTGGTTGCGTCATATTTCTCGTAAATAACAGAATTCGATCCTCAATTGTTCATATGTAATTCGGCATGCGTTCCTTAGTTTTGTCTGCGTATTTTCATGGTAATTCTTCTGTTGCTCCGATATATCTAATTTGTGCCTATTTATTTCATTATAGCTATCAGTTACCCCTTGCATATTCATTTCTACACAACATTTGACGAAATGGGAATCATAACATGTGAGACGGTAAGACTTTATTTGCTTGAACTCTCTGTATACCGTGCATGGTAACGAACACAAATGTTTCCCTTATTAAATATGAAAAGGTTGACCATTTGATTTAACACAGATACGGACTTAAATGCTTCTATTGTACATCTTTTGACAGAGAAATTAGCTTCATGAGTGTTACGATTTCGTGTGCCAAAAGCCTATCGGTCGATGGTTTGTTAAACATCAGCATACCATAAGGGAACAGTTAGTTGCCACATCGTTGCTAGGGGGCGGATATCGCTTTGAAAGTTAAACTATGAATGTTTAGGGGGTTAAAGATCCCTATGTTTCAAGTCCCTTTAAGTAGTTGGTGAAGAAATGAAAATAATCATACTACTAATAATAACAAACACTTAGTAAGATACGCCTGAATACTTATTATCACTTGCTTTGCTTTACTTCTGCAATCAGTATAAATTCTTATCACCTACATTTAACATCAAATATAACATGGGTATACTTTATTAGTAAGTTAAAGACGCAGTACTAAGTTACCAAGTGAGGGCGGATGAGTTCGTCCTCCAACCGTTAGTGTCGGTGCTGAAACTAATATTTCTGGGAGAGCATTTCACTATTTACAAACAAGAATGTAAGCGACATACCTGCGTCAATCCAAACGATTTTGCCCTACCGTGCGTTTAACTGATTTGCCCTTCAGCGTTGCATTTCCGCTGATTTTCAGTAAGGGTGCCACACATTGTGTGGGTTGTGCATAAACAACTATGCTATAAAAAGTTTACCTGGGAATCGCCGATGCCCTCCGCTATGTACCCCAAATCGTTCTGTTCTCTGCTCCTTTGAAAGATTGCGAAGCCTAATACTGCATTTTGATGATCAACTTTAAGGCAGCTCCAATGTGTTAAGACCAGATTTAATCGTAGATGTTAAGAGTGAATTGCGTATTCGTCATGACGGCGAACATCTGTAATGAGCACTTTACAATAAAAGAGCTGTCTACTTTTCTGAAGATCCATCACAATAGCTCAATCAGTTGGCTTCCCTGCCACTACACCATTTCAACTTGTCTGTAGCAACCCAATTAAGCTTGAACCAACACCCTCAAATCATTTTTGACAGTTGCTGCTCGTTGTGCGTTTGTTCCGTGCTATTATGCGCAGTACCGCTGAGGTCGTTTCGTGGGTACCTAGTATTTACTCAGGCTGAAATGCAGCGGTTTAGGTTGACCGTTGCTGTATCCTCTATAGTGCGTTCTGAAGCGTGTGCTAAAAAATATACACCGGAATCCTGTAACAATGCTCTATGTCATCGGTAAACATTACACACTTCAATGTGTTTGCATGTGCGAGGTCAAATGTGCAACAGGAAATAAGCCTCATAAAACTACACCCTCAAATTTTATGGCATCCGTTAAAGGGCTGCGAACGCTGACCACTAATTACCGTTGAAGGCAAAAGTTGTTTATCCAGCTTAGAAGCGACTTGCTGAGCACTAGGCACTGGAGGCTAGAAAGTAGTATCCAATACTCTAGACGATGAAAGCATTCAATAGATTTAGAGAGATCTCATCAACAACTTTTTAGGCGTCAGCTGACTCGATGCAACCGCTGCGTGCGCCTAGCAAATTCCTTGTGCATGAGCGCTGCCTAGGGAAACCGTGCTGTTCAGGCGTGCTTATGCCGCGGATTTTCAGATAACGCACATACATTATTGGGTTTAGCTTTCTGCCAGCCACTGCTATTTAACTGCTATCAATCCCGCACTCAAGATGCTACATCAAATGGTGGCAAAACGTTTGCAATTAAGTTGCCTGGCTCGGAGTACTCCACAACAACTGAGTAAGCCTCCCGAGCTACCAATATTTCAAATGATTTCGAACACCACGGTATATAAAATCATGCATTCTATGCATTGTAGCAAATAGGTTAAAGTGATACTGCTTGGTAATTGAGCGGTTCAGTTCCCCTTCACTTTTGTAGATCGTGGTAATTGTACTAGCAGTTACACGGCTGTAAACTGTTGGTGTTTGAAACAGCGCTGGAAAACAGCTACATATTCCGTTAGTTGGCTTACTGCTACCCCCAGTTCCCCTTAAAAAATAGTATCAACACCCGGTGAGCTACGACTGTGTAGAGACGTCAGCTGCTTTAACCCAGCCTCTTCGGTAAACGAAATGTGGGTTATTCTTGATAGGTGATGACAAGGGCTAAAACGTCGTTTGATAAGAAGACCCACCAAAACATGGAATAACATAGCGTCCGCAGCAGGTTTCCTGCTGCCATTGCTGTTATTGTTGTACTATCGGGCACCCTACATTAAGGAACCACTTGTCTTATCTTTACTTGGTCATTAACATGCATAAAAAGCGAGCTGCGTTTAACATTAAACGTTTTTGTTAGATACTGCTGATATGCGGCATTGTCTTCTGTGAACTTTTGAGTACCTTGGTTACGTTGGTCTCCGTTTTCCCCAGTACATCTGACCTTGGAGCTTCTCTGTACAACCGCCATGCAGCGTTGTAGACTGTCAGATATTTTCGAGTGCTGTTCCTAAACTAATAACTGAAGAATACTTGTTGTAAACACTTAGTTTTGGAGCATCTGCAAGTGACTGCTGAATGTGTTGACGAACTCTAGCCAGGCGACTTTCCGGGATTCTTCGGCAAAGAACGTTCTGGTTTTTGTCCTGGCGACCTTAATTACACGATCGTTGCTTGTGATAGATCGCATAGTCTCTTAGTTCACTGGGATTGGAGGTGTTCAATTAGTGCGTGCGACTAATTCGCAGTATTATGTGGAAGCTAAGTTTAAAGCACTGAAAAATTTGTGCGAGGAAAATGTAGGAAGCTTTTGCTGCTTGGCTACGCGTGGCGTAGATAAAGTGTCAGCCATTACAAGGGTTTCGCAACGGTATTGTGCTGTCCTTCAATGGTATTTGTTCAAAGTGCTAAAACAGCTGCTCTTTGTATGTCTTATGTGCTTTTTCTATATAACTAAATAATCATACTGGATGGGCGCATTAGGTACCGTTTGAACAAGGTTGCATACCACCCTAATACCTTGATCAAAGGATCGTACGGCTCACGTTGACACTATATCTAATGCTCCAGTGTTCGCTTTTCTGAACTTATTGTTAAACCTATAATCATAGCCAAGGCGTCGCACTATGCGCGGACAATAATATGCCTTGTATGGAGCTGATTAGCATCAAGTTTAGTACGGTCACCTGGAAATAAGTTTGATCCATAAATGATAACTGTCAATATGTTAAAAGCAAAACTATTCTTTCAGGTTGAAATGCAGCACCTTGGGTATTAACTTGACGTTGCATAACGCGCAACTTGAGGGAAACTTCCTCAGTAGGTACATACAAAACGTTTGTGATAATCCGCAGTATAGACATTACTACCCCATTTGTATTTGTGTTTCATCAAGCCTGCAGCTGGTGAGAGTCAATGAGATATAGATGGAATTCAAGGAACTTTGCGGTGTTTCGCGTGTGCTGTGAAGCACGATAAGGCCACAATTCATTTTCATCTTACGTTCAAGTTTGATTGCATTAAGGCTCACTGCTAGCTTGAATCAAGCAATTCAGCCGATACTACCGCGAGTTTAAGTGACCTCCTTATATTTTATGAACAGTTGACAGTGTCTTGTGGGAAAGTGCTATTTTTCGTATTTCCCACATGATTTCTTGTAGATAAAGATGAATTCGGACCATCTATAGGTTAGTTGGAGATAAGTCAAAAAATTAAAGGCGCTTCACTTCAGGCAGTTTTATTTCACTTTCTTTGCTCTTGAAGTATGCTACGGCGTTGACTGCATGAGCATGTTCTAAACATAAACGTATTAGTTTGCTGATGTCGGTTTATTTTGTGTTTGCCGGAATGACAATACCATACGTGGCAAAAAGGGTACTTCATCTACGGAGCTGTGCGGTATACGGACATTGTGCGCACGCGTAGCAATACGTGGGCTGCAGTTATTACGGTCGAATTATTTTCCTGGTAATATGTTTCGTTGCCTCCAAAATAAGAGAGGTGGTTTCTCTGCGACAACGAGCTTAGTTACAGGTGCGGCAATTGTATATATGTTTTTCGTCAAGTAATATACTCTCATATATTTTGCTGCTTACAGATCAGTAACATTTTAAAAGTAAGGTCTCCTTTGATCATCCCAATTGAGTGTCAACATGAAGAAACTCTGTTCGAACTGTCACAAACCTGTCGCCACCGATTTAAAATAAGCATGCTGATGCCTGAACTTGATGACCAGCAGACAACAGAAACGGTTTTACAAAGCCTCATAATGGTACAAAACTTGCTGGAATTTGAAGGAAGCAGTTGTACACCGTTCACCCTCCCTGTATATCATCCAATCTTACATACCTGGGGTGAGCACACTTTTTGCAAGTAACACTAATAAATGTAAACAATAGCTGCATTATTCTATATTTAAATCATGGAAATGCAAACATTTCGAAATGGATGACGTTGGCAATTAGCAGGTGCAAAGATTTTAATTTCCAACATATTTAACCTGCTTCCTTAACAGCATAGCTTTGCACTTATAACAAAACCTACAAAATTACGCGCTCCTTTTCGTGCCCAGATCTGTAAGTTCCCTTTTGTGATGCAGTTATTCACATTATTAACAACGTTTGGAAGAACAAACTGATGGTCACATGAGATAACCTACATAGGACACTTATGAGCTAAACGTGGTCACAGCGTGACTTAATACAAGTAATTAATCATGTGCTATTCAGGTAGATCCGCAGCTATCTTCGTGCATCAACAAATTCATTTAGCGTAGATAATTGCAAGCGTGGCCTTCCTAATCAATCATAACAAAGCATATACTTCAACCTGCATGCGCCTTTTTATTTACTAGATTTCGAAATACCACTCAACAAAAATAGCGCAGCGATCCTAACCTGTGATACGGTAAGTCAGCCGACCTCTCTAAAGTGAACAATTATACTATAGCGGCCTTTAACCATCTCTCTATATGGGGTTAGGTTTGTGCATGTACTCTCATAATTTTCTTAATATAGCAAAACTAGCTATCCATCCGCGAATAAAAATCCTTGCTATAAGCTCCGGAATGTGCTATGCAAATTAGGTGATGCAATGCGTCAAGCTGAACGTTTAAATGTATTTAATATTGTTCAACTCTCGATGCAATATGGAGATCATCATTTATCCCCTTTAAAAAATTTTCGGTCAAAACATCGTTGAAACTGCAATTTGAATGAAAATATGTAACTGTCTAGAAAAGGTAGTTGATGTTGCCAGAGGAAATACAGGTTCAGTGAGAATCATTTACCATACAATCACCACAATGTTCACATTTCGCTAATATGCCGAAAACAGATGTCAGAGTAAAACTGGATCTTAGTTGAATGTTAACTCTTATCATCCTAGATCCGTGACCGCTCTACGTGTCCGCTTTACTCATGTGAGCTGAAAATTTCGCAGAGTGAGCAGATACTTCTTCTTCAATTTCCGGCTGAACTTTGTGGTCAGTTGGATGATTTCACGGATGACAGACAAGCTGCATTCCTCGTCCATTCATTTTTAAATGAGAATACGCCTTGTCTGGTTATTCAATATACAGAAACCAAGGATGCGTTTGTCAAAGGTTAGAAACCCTTAAATGCACTGGTTATGCAAAATAATTCATTTGCATGTTTGTCTATTAGTGAACTTCAGCATCTGTACTGCTTGCAAGATTTTTATGCTATAACGTTATTTACCATATAGCTATCGTAACATGGATGCAGCCTATACAACTATTCCACTGTTGGCTTATATTACCCGTCTGCTGACGAACGGAATTCAGCCTGTTTCTTTTGAGGACAACCTTTACCACACACGCTATCACGTTTTTGGCAAAATCGCATGTACGCTGTGATAATTAATAGTGAAGCTAATATTCTCACTGAAAGAAAAGTCCTAAAACTGTATTGGTAGTTAGGTCTCTGCTTGTTTACTCCGAGCAGGGTCCAAATATTCATTGGGCTTGTATTATTTCTGTAATGGCACCGTTGAAAATGCAAACTTGTGGGTCAGTTAAAAATTTCTCTTCAAGTGGAAGCACGTTTGTTGGTTCGTACAACAATCTGTGTTGCACAATTTTACTTTTTCAGAAAATCAGAACCTGAGTACTTTGTATACACTAAAGTCATTAGCCAGTGGTTTTTTCTCTTTGCAGTGCCCCATGAAAGATATTTCTGTAAGTTATTCTTAACTTGTGCAACTTATGCTTCCGGCAGACTCCATAATTCCGCAGCGACAGAAATTAAGCGACCAGCTTTTACGCAAATACCAACATTTATTTCAGCGGAAAAGCACGGCGCTACGACTTCGTTTAGTAAACAAGGTTTTGTAAAATTTAACTAGATTGCTTAACAAGATGCATGAAACATACTCGCTCTTATCGTGGGTTTCGGCGATGAAGAGCACCAAGCTCCAGAACCCGTGGGCGCTACATGAGTGGCAAGTTGTACACGATCCGCAGCATTAGACAGAAGTTCTCCATACCTACTGTAATTAAATCTCTGTAATATGAAACGCAAATTTGCGGACCAAAGTTCGCCACACAGGGATGGCTTATTTATAAACTGACATCTCTCATGTGTTCACAAACATAATCGTGTGACCTTAAATGACGGCATGACCCGATATGTCGTAGAAACTACGATGTGTGCCAAAATTTTGTGATGGGTACGCAACCACAGGGGAAGCGAGTGACTGACAATAACGGTTGCTAAAAATGGAAGAAGAATTTAATATATTTTGCACCCAATGCAGCGTCCGAAAAATGTGCTTTATGATATTTACTCAAAACTGAGCAGTATGGTTTTATCAGAGCTTTGCCAGCTGCAGTATGTTGAAAGTGATACAGGCAGTCGTTGTGAATAACATGACATCCGATGCAGCCGCCTCAGACCTAAAATTGCCGGAGCACGTATTCTTGAACACCGTCACGTATGCTGCAATGAGTATAGTTGCCTTGTTGCACTAGATTTATGCACACTGCTAAAATAAAATACACACGTAAGCCTGATGTCTCATCAAGGTTTCCTAGCAGCAGAATCAGCTGTTTCCATGAAGCGTGCGCATAAGCTTGGCGATCAAGTTCGTACTGGTCGTGGGTTCAGGGCATTTGAATTAGATGAATGGGCATTGCCCACAAGACCCAACCAAGCAAACAGCCGGATTATGCTTTTCCGGTCAATTTGATGACTACGTGATTTTAAAGCCGCTGCTATACAAGATTTACAAATTAGTATAAATATCCCCTACTCTTGAAACCAAAGGAAGTTACTTTACGCACTCCAGAACAAACGCCCTAAAAACCAAACAAAGTTTATATCAAAATCTCGTTGACCGACTAGTAAATAGCGAGCATTTATAATCCTTTCAGTTGTTTATGATAATTTAGAAATGTCTGTATGGCAAGTAGGAGAAATCATCCTGTCGGTAGCTTAAGATACGTAAAAATGTATGATGCTAAATTCGTTAGCTACAAGTTATGCAAGGGTTATCTGGCGTCTTAGCTAATAAATAAAACTACCATTGTAAAACCAACCAACTTATGGCTAACATGAAACACATTTATCAGAGATTTTTAATAATAACCATTTTAATCGCATGTGGTTTAAACCTTTCGCACGTGCTTATGCCCGATATTGCATCTAAATACTACTAGTTATATGAATAAATGTTGTCTGTGGTGTGAATTTTCAGTATATAAGCGTTATACACATTAAACAAAGCTGAAAGTAAGAATAAAACTCGGCATTTTAGTGAGGTTTCTAAGTTTATGTAATGGAAATCTTTCGGGAATTATTCCGTTAGTTGAAGTGGCCCTACGTGTACGCAACTGTAGGTGAGTTGCAAAGTGTGCGTTAACAAAGCCACGTGTAGCTCTGGAATGCTGCGTCCATGGTTTTTGCAACTACAGATGGTAGGAATTCTTGTGTAACATAACTGTTTATGTTGAGTTCCGGCCCACGACCTATGATTAGTGATGCATAGAGGGATGTGCTAAAGAGCAAATATTAGCAGTTTAGGTTAATCAGTCAGTGGTCCGAGTGCTTAACGAGCCTGGCAGTTAGGTTGCTTTTAATTATATTACACAATCGCACCAGCCTAATGAAAACCCAAAACAATAAAATGGGGCGCTTTTAAACCTTTCTGCAATATTGCGATGTGAAATTGTCCGGACAAGGAGAATGCATGTTGGCGGTTTTGTTTTATTGCGAAGCATTCTTAGCTGCAAAGTCACTGACAATTGTGGCGAAAGCTAATATTTAAGTATTCCCTACCCAACGAAAGTAGCATCAAAACTCCGTTCGCAAAATTGCTGTGCTGTCTAGTAAGTAAAATTCATGTGAATGTTAACAAATTAGAACGCTTATGAATCCTAAATGTTGGGTCCATATCTGCGCAAAGTAGTACGAAGAAAGGCGTACCGCGCTATTACAGAAATGGCAATAAAGCGATATTGAGTGGTGCCATCTAACTTTTATCTCCACTCTACTTTGTGCATTCGTTATAATCATTGCAACAGGTACATTAAATTTTCAGTTCAGTTTATGCAAGTTTTTTCATATGCACGATGTCTTCCTAACTTTACCAATTTAATGTGAGGAAACCAGCTTGCTGCACCGTCTGCTTTATGGTCTCCCGTTTTCCCGCATTACGTTGATGTGGAAAATAATCACAGTTGTTAATTCACTAGGATTTGCAACTAGGCAGTAGGCACCTAAGTCTATTGTGCACACCACTAAATCAGTTTGACATTCATAACTTGTATTAATAAACTACCCTTTACACCTACCACCTGCAGTTGCGCTAGTCTCTGGTCCTTCATATGTGGACGTATGCCAGAACGTACGATTACGCCAGGTTAGCTTGTAACGATTATAAACAATATTTATTTATTTTAATTTGCATGCCATAAACCGCCTGCCACAATCGCGAACGAAACATTAACACCATCCGTTATCTTGACTAATGTTTCCGTTTGTGCCAAAATACTAAGTTTAAGTGCCTGCTATGCCGATGTCACTTTTCAGGCTAAGTGTTTTCTTTGACAGCAGTTTGTTGTATTGAAAGCAGCTACTGGAACTTCAGGTTTTATCTAATTATTCATCGAATGTGATATCAGCTTGCATATTTTGAGTTGGTTTCTGAACCTTCGTGGTTACACTGCGTTTTTCATTCGTAGACAACGTACCGTATACCATACGGTGCACATATTTGCGAGGAAATTCCCAATGAAGACAGAAGCAGAAAACAACGGATATTCCGCATACGACCAAAGGAGCTTATTTATTTTTCTGACATACCTTGGTATATGAATGAACACAACAAATTTGTATTCTTCTTGAATAGTCATGGGCCGAACTGTGTATTCAACGGATACGTTCAATTGAATGAAAGTATGTCGGGTAAAACTTTATCACATTTGTTTATGGACGCATGCGTTTGTTTGTCTGCTACTAATTGACTAAAACCCGATGTCGTGTCCTTTGCCGCCTGATGACTTTTATATCTGGCTAAGCGCGCAGATGGCACTGTTAACGGCGCGGAGCTAATGCGAGTATGTACTTTCACGAAGCGGCGGTTGGCGGTAGGCATGCGTTGCCATAAAATCAAAAGTTTATTCCTCTGTATAGGAACGCCGAGGTACTACTTGATTCACGTACCATACCAGGTCATGTGTAAACTTTCGTACGCAAAACATAAAAATAGCCATGGATTGCCGTGTTTATTTTGCTCTAACCGTTGTAAAGTGTGCTCTGCTATTCACTTTGTGCAGGTTGCTGCCGGTCTCACATATTTGGTGATGACGAATAAGTAGTCACCTACTGATTGCCTAATAATATGTAATTAACAGGTGGCATCCAGACATACTTTGGATAAAACATTGCATGGTGAGACAACGCTGTACTGCGGTTACCGCTAAAAACATATCTATGCTGTGAGCAGCTGTATCGAGCATAATTTTTAACAGAATAATCGTGCCGATGTAATCATAAACAAAATACTTCATAAATTATTGCAAGTATGATGAATACTTGATGAAAGGCTTTAGGGTAATACTGTATTGAGTGTTTTTACTTCATCTCCATTGCAGTGCAAACAAGTTCATTTATCAGTGCCTTACTTTCCTGCTTTGCAGGTAGACAGGTTTCGGAGCTAACTGGTCAAAAACCAACATACCTCTGCCCTTAACAACACCAACTGCTCCGGATCCCTTAAATACCGCGCTGCGGTGACCCCTTATTCAGTATCACAAAGTCAAGTAATTGCCGACAAACACTGTAAATACTGATCTGTTTTGGAATATAATTGCAGCTGTTTGATAATTTTGCTACTGCAACTGTGTGACCTTCTGCTTTCACTTATTATGTGTTAAGCTCTAGGGTTAGGTTTTACCGGACTTAATTCTTTTCAGCGATGCTTCACGGTCGTTTAAGTCATTGACTAGTTTAAGTGTAGTGGAACCGATTGCGTGCTTATTTCCAATCAAATCGCAACCGTGTCTCTGGTATTTATTAAATATGCAGACGTAAGCGATTAACAAGCATAAGACAAACCGCAGTTGACCAGAAGAAAACAGGGATGAGCGCTTACTTATACACAACTTTTGTACTTACGTGTTAGGCCAGTTTACGTGAGCAGTGGATTTAAGCAAATTTTGTATTGAGGCAACCTGGGTGTCTATGAACGGGTTCTATTTTGGTAAACGGTGTATAATTAAAACAACCGCCAATTAGTGGAAGAATAAAGCTACGGTAAAAATTGTAGTTACATCTAATGCCTGAAATGTTCTCTTGCATGGGCGAGATGAAAATATCAACTGCAGTAAAGTTTGTGTCTGTAAATTGGCTTCTGTTGGTGAACGCTTTAAGTTTCCATGATGATAGATTTTATGTTGGTCCTTGCAATTTGTGAGCACAGATTGGTAATTATATGTAGCCTTTTGGGAAACAAAAGAAACATATGCAGTTGAATGACCCAAAGATTTGACCAAACGTAGCTTAGCTCTCGTCTATTTGATGGCAGATATAACTCAAGGGGAAATGCGATAGTATAGTTGACACACTCATGGGACGAAGCTATTGCGGTGGTTTTCCATTTGACTAAACTGAGTTTCCATCTACTGCAGATTAATTAGTTGCCTGGACCTAGCTTCTGGAAGTGGTTGCGAACGTTTTAGGTTTGTTTTGTAAATTGTCAGCCATGATGTAGCCGCATCGAATACCCCGACCTTGTCCACAATATATTCCAAGGAACAGAGGAAAAGCAACCTACTCTTGCTTCTGTAGGGAACGCCATGTTCTGAGAGCCTCTATCAAATGGGGTCGAAGCTCTGCTTCAAGCATGTGTAGACAAACTGAGGGACTAATCGGAGGAATTGCCTGGTAAGTACGGTTTGCCACGTAGCTTGTTACAAGAAGCAAATACAATATGTATACTTAAGTCCTAAATTACGAGTAGCCTATCGCCGGAACATGCTTCAAGAACCAAGCAGCCTTTGTATAAAAAGCTTGCGCTATCCGACCATAATTGCCTTAATCACGCCTATCTCATGGGAATGGAGATCAGCTCAACTAGGCCGCATCGTTTGCTAGGGATCGCCACACCGATGTTTATGTAATCGTACGTCCTCGGTGAATAAATGAATGGTTGCCTATGAGAGTCACGCAGTTATCGTTTATACACAGGGGCAATACCTTAGAAACTCGTAAAATTTTAGGAACATCAAAACTGGTGCTCGTGCAAGAGTAGGTGTGTTTGGCACACAAATTGACTAATTAAAGGAGCATGCTATTTTCTGAGGATGGCTAAATTATAGCGGAATCAGGAATTCAAAGGACAATATCGTTTCAGTTGCAGTTAGTGGTTTACTGACGAGTACCACGCTTAATCCAAATGCTTACATGGCCATTGCAAAACCGGATATTATCAACACTAAGTGTAATGCAGGTAATGTTCCTGACAGTTCGTGCTATAAGTTTTGCCGTGGCTATTAGGGTGAGAGGCGCTAAGCATGCCTACGTATCTGAGAAGAACTATCAAAGTTTCCTTGTTAGCATTGCGTTAAGTTTGAAGATTGTGTGGGTATAACGGATCGGTTCACAGATAGTACTATCTGAGTATGTCAGTCTGCTTGATGTAGTATCATAAATGGGGTACTGCAATAATCAGATAAATAGGTAGTTTGTAACAATAATGGATACATATGCAGTTATGATAATGAGATTACGCCGTCAGAGGCCAACGTGAGAAATGGTGTCATAGTCTCCATTATCTGTTGATTATCGTACAAAGAACTACCGAAATGGCGTGGGTCACTGATTGTTTTCGGCCAATAACACACAGTACTCAGTTCAGATTCGTGAATTATTTAGTAAAGGTAGCACAAACCGCTTCAACAATACCATGTTCCCGCATGGGGTTTAGCATTAGTGGTGCAACGCTTTTACTATTTACTACAAAGTCCTCAATTAATGTTTGTTTAGTTGTCTGCTAATACGACGACGGGGATGTTAAACTTTCTCAGTCGCGTTATAGTAAAAGTTGAAAACGTGCTTAAATTACTTATTATAAAGCAGATAAAGAATAATAAGGCGAGTTGCTCAAAAACGAGCCGAATAAGTTGGTTGGCGCCAAGCAAACACAACCACCAACAAACGTAAACGAACACAAAAAATTCTAACGATTAGAATAACTAATGGCTTTCTGTGAAGACATAAGTATTACTGCCCGAAATACATGTATTTAATAGATTGTTGTCTTAAACAGTAATTACTTATGTGTGTCAAAGTATGAAACGGTTTCGCAGGATTAACGGTAAGTTGCTGCCATCAGGGAAAAGCATTATCCGTATTGCTGCAACCAATTTCGCGAAAAGATTCACGCCAGCAACATTCCCCATGATCTTTGGAAAAGCAGCACAGCACAAGGAAAAGTTTGTAAATACTAGCTAAACGATTATGAAAAGTATAAACAGAGACAGAGCGGGACATTTGTTGGCTCATGATGGCGAAAACCCATTGCAGTGAATGTTCAATGCATTTGTACCAAACATCCGCCCACATAGTTTGTGAAGCTATATTCGAGTAAAAGCAAGTAGGTGGGGATTTTCGCAGATAAATCCAAGCTTTTAGTAAAGCACCATGTTTTATTAACAGGGATCACACTTGGAAAGTGCAAATGTGTGTGACATTTGTTGATAACTTATGTTGAATTGCTCAAGTATAGATAGAATTTTGTGTGTGTATTGTGGAGAACTTGTGAAGGACTGAGAATTGAGGGATGCAAAATTGTAGTGTAGACAAGGAATAAAGGAATGTAAGTGCAGAAACAGTCTTTAATGACTTATGCAAGCAGGTGGGTGTTCTGTTTAGTTGTTGTTACTGGTAGTTAGGAGGGGAGGATTGATAAATATGGCAATGTGTGCTCCTGCCTTAATAAATCATAATCGCGATCTGTACATGCAGTTCAGGAGGTGAGGAAACGGATTGTTTGCTTATATTGGATGCAACAATGATGGGTCGTCGTAACCATCGCATCCAATAAAATGACGTGAAGTTTGGTGTTAACATCGGAGAAACAATTCATGTTGGGTTTGGAAAGATGTGTGTTGTCGGATGTTCAGCGCTCCACAAGCAGTTATTTCTACTTTTGCGGTTGCAGCTGTCCGAAGGCTAAGCAGATTGCTGATGCCGCGTTGAGGTGCAAATTGGGTTGCGCATGAGACAATTTGCTCTGGCTTTGTTCTAAATGGGATAATGAGCAGTATTACGTCAGTAAGAGGGATTTATCTTATGGTGATAGCGACTTACTGAAAATATCGCGAAGTTGTGGTATTGCTTCGGTAATACTGTGAGCTTATGCGTGTTTTGGTAGTATTTCATTAAAGTACGTTGAAGGTTTAATTGTGTCAAGTCTACGAAACAGTCCTTACAAGTTTCAAGTGCTGTTCAGACGGAGGAAACCTCTCCGGAACATTTCACCCCATTATTGAAAGTACGCGTCAAATGTGTCTCTCTAATCATCAGAATATTAAAATCAGGAATATGTCTGCATCCCTCGCGAGGTTGTTTCTGTCCACTGTAGACTGAGCTGCTAGGTCAGCGTTTTGGTTTGCATCTTTTGCGTCTCCATTTGTGACTGCTGTTGCCGTAGCGGTACCCGAAATTTTTCTGCGTAAATCATTCTGTACCACATTTCTCCTCCATAATTTGTTATAAGCTGCCTGTTGGTATGCAACTTCCATTGGATTAGACCCTTTTAGTGTCAACACCGAATCTCTGCCGAAAAGCGGAATTCAGTGCTCAGACAAAAAGACGTTGTGTGGAAGCAGCTCCCGAAACTGCGACAAGCAGTGTCAAAACAACAGACACCCACAAGTCTACCAAGGAAGGAGCAATTATCAGACGGCTAGGTAAGCTGTGCTCCATTTTCGTTTCATTTCGCTAGCCAGTAGAAAGGCTGTTAAACGCGTTACATGGACGGATACGTTTCTGAAACGAATTGGTGTTTCAGTTGTCCCTCAACATGCTTTACCAGTTAATTGAGCGTTTTCTTGAAGCTATAATTCCCTTATTCATTGATGGTATCCGTGTCCGGATGTGTCTGTCACTGTGGATTCCAAGGGAACTGTCACAAACGCCAGCGCCCACAGAAAGGCCTTGAACGGTTAGCGTTGCATTAATCACAGCTCCATCCACACGGTTCATATCCAGCAGAAACGTAAAGGAATAAGTTCGGAGGCATGTGGAGGGGAGCCAAGTTCCGTCAAAGGAACTAGTCAGCAATAATTCAGCATTTCCAAAACAACGTTTATGTTTATCTAAACTGGGAACCATGCGTTACAAAATTACACAAGGTAGTGGGTGAGAATTAATCCTCTCTCCATTGGATGGAACACCACTTTGAGACCAGCACGCCACAAAGACCTACATTCCGTCCTTCCGGCAACGATACACATTCGCCTGGAACCAGCAATCGGGGTGGAGGCCGGTAATACGGTAAAGAACTTTTCAACATTTTCATTAACCGCCGTCACACCGAGGATCCCAAGAAACAGAAGGCATTTCTTGAGAAGCTAAATACACATAATAGAAAAGGACAACGTAGCTGAAAAACAGAGCTGAGCAAAGCAAATAAAGCAGAATACTTTTTACTCGGTTTGAGATGACCTTGTCTAAATTTAAGTCGGT